CATGTTACAAGTGCATTCAGCTTCATCTAAAATGCTCAAATTACAAATAACATTTCTAGCTACTGCCTTACTTTACTTTTGTTGTAGTCAGGATAGCTTAAGGCATATAAAAATTAACTCATTTGATAAGCAGGTGAGTTGATAGAAGTGAAAGTCTCATTACTTACAATCCAGTCCTTTTCTAGCAGTCTTAAGAAAAACATTCAAACTACTCCAAAATTCAGAAGAAATAGATATTAGGTGTAACCGAATATCTAAATTAGCTAATATCAACATATCTAAAATACCAAATGACTTCCTTATGAATAGATCCACTCACAACTCAGTCCTACTGTTAGAAAATATGTTTGAAACACACCTCAAACTACATGAGGGATTATTACTAATGCCTATAAAAAATATTTACATTCAGGGAAACTAAGCAACTATTATGCATGAGCAAGATTCCTTCTCTCAAAAGAGCTTATAATGTCGCAAGTAGGTGTAACAATTGTAGCATGTGGTTAGCACCATCATGAAGACTACGGTGAAGAATCACAAAAGTTTATGCTCATAGAAGTCAAGCCCTACAAGACTGAGAGGATCACCAAATATAGAAAGAACCTCCTGAATGTTCTCAGAAGCAGTGACAGCACAAGACAAGAGGGGGCAATTCGAATGTTGCCCCCAGATTTTCTGGCATGTCTGACTAGAAAAAAAGGTGGCACCTTTAACCAAAATTGCTCCAAGAAGAGAAAGGTAAAAAATATTATAACTAACTTCATCTAGGGCAAAATGTCAAGTAGGTAGCTGAAAGATCTAGAATTTTGGGCCAGATGTATAACAGGACATTGAGATAAAATAGAAACCCTAGGGATGAGATTATGAAACATTCTGAAGACAGAACCTGAGAGAGCACATTTGTACATATATTTCAAATACTGGTAAGAGTGATGTGACTGCATTCACAGTTATAGCCGAGGATACTATCTTCAAGGTGTATGTGGGGGCACTGTCCAGGAAAGGATGCTCAATGGTGTAAATGTTGCAGGCAAAGGAGGGTAAGAATGCAGGCTGAAAAAAAAAATCATTTAATTCACTAATTGGGGGCCCATTGAGAACAGTTTCGGTGCAGTGCTGTGTAAAGCAGACTGCAAGTGCCGAGCACTGAGCAGTGAGGCTGTGGGGTAATGGATAAGGACCTCTCCAAGAGGTCTGTCTGGCAGTGCGAAAAAGGCTAGAGAAGCCAGCAGGCTCAGAGAGAACTTTTCACACTGGAGGATACATGAGCACTTTGAAGACAAAAAGGAACCAGCATACAATTGTTTGCATAATTTTATGTTATGCACTAAAAAATTATTTTTAATCTTTTCAAAAAACATTTTCTTCAACAAAAATTAAATTATATGCATTTACCATATAAACTTAAAAGCGCTAGCATTTTATAAATCTTACATCTAAAAGAGCTGCACAGTTTTTTATTAGACTTCAGAATTTTGCTTCTAGCCTAGCATAAGAAATTAAACTTAACAACTGCTACTTTAGTTCCAGAAAGATAACTCTGATATAAAGGATTACATTTAAGTAATTGTGTATGCCTTCTTCCCCAGCCTCCTCCTCCAAAGACAAAGTATCTGCAGGGTAATTAATAATTTGAATAACATTTTTTCAAGTTGAAATAGAGAAAAATTAGAAACAGTATTCCCATTATTTGTAAGTTCTTAAAGACCTAAACTGTTCTTTACAATTAATTATTCATGATAAAACATGCTTATTTATTATATACACATGCTGACATATGAATCTTCAGGCTAAAACACATGCAACCAACTTGAAAAAACAAGTATTAAACCATCCTCACAATCCTAAGAATGCCCTTTTTAATAAGGCACTCATGTTTGGAAATAGGATATAACCACCAAATTAAATACGATGTTTAAAAGAAGCCTTTTATTAAGCACAAACAACTTTTAATACATTATCATTACAAATAGGAAAATGTCTTTCAATGACTATGATATATCAAAGATCTGAATGTTTTCTTCATACTGACACAATAAAAATAATCAATTTTGAAGAAAAATTAAAAAGTAAAATTTTGAGGACACCACTGTTTACTAATAACCATTTCACTATATAGTCTAAATTTACTACATCACCTGGGGAGGAAGGGCAATTATTTTTATATAGAGAATTCCTAAACTCTTATTAGCACCACTCAAAGCTTATTATCAGTTGTTCATCTACAAACTGACAGGTCAGGTAAAGCTTTAAAGCAGGTTTTCAGTGCAATGTTTATAGTTCCTTCTTTTAAGATACTTGGAGTCTATGGTCCCAAAGCATGTTAAATAATTATGCCTTGGTAGTTGCAAGGTGCTAACATGTAGAGAGAAATGTGTAATGGAAAGAAAGGAGGCTTATCTTGGCTGTGAAATGTATCTGAATGTGCTGTGGCTAATGCAGCAGTATGCCGATGACATGCAGGATTATTGTGAACGCAGGTCTGTGGGAAGCTGGTTGCCATTAGCTCTCTGTGGTCATCATCTCAGGATGTCTCAGCTGCTGTCTTTTGAGACTAACTAGTTTCATCCTGTCTCTGATGTGTTCTGCAGTAGAAGCCATGTCACTTGGACTCCCAAAATATTGTTCAGTTCTAAAAATCAAAACAAAGAGAAAAACCCCATTCACATTAATACAGATCCACTGACCACAGCAAATACAAAAGGAAGCAAAAAATTAGCATAAAAATTACCTCTGTGATAAGCCATTAGTTCATTTGTAGATCATACTGTTTATCTTTGAGTAGTAATTCAGTAGGAGGAACATTTTTTAGACGGCATAAAATATATTAAAAAATGTCAAGACAAATATATTAGTGGTATAAATGTCATATGAAGTGTACTTAGGATAATCTCAATAATAGAACCAAGCTATGCAAATATCAATGAAACATTGATATTTTTGTTTTTCAATTTGGGGTCCATAGCACACACAAATCCAAAGTTTGTGTACGTCAGTGCTAAGGACTACTTACACTCACTTCTAATATAGTTACCAAATGAATATCCATTTAATGTTAAGGTATCATTTGGGACATAGAAAAATCATTTAATTTTATCATACCTGCAAAGATTCTGTTTTCAGAGTCACAGAATCTTTTAGAGGTAGAAGAATTTTTAAAAATTATCTGTTTAAGCTCTTCATTTTTTAGATCAGAAAAGGGAAGTGTAGAAAATTAAGTGACTTAATTAAGATCACATAGTGGAAAAACTAAGATCTGAACCTGGGTCTTTAAGCAATGACTCCAGAAAAAACATTTTTAAAATATTTTCCCAAGAGAATGTTACAAAAGATAAATCTGAATAATTTTACCATGAAACAGATTTAATATGACACAAATTATTGTATGAAATGGAATAAAAATTCCAATTATTAAAGGTGTGGTTATCAAATCTGAATAATACAGAATTAACTTATTTTATCTTAAAAGGATGAGGAAATGACACACAAATTATTTGTAGAACAGGAGGAGAAGCTCAAGCTAAAAACACCAGGGAAAGATATTCCCAGGCTGACCTGAGTAGAAGGGAGACTGGCAGACAATTGGCTGTGAAATGCAATCATAGGGGTTGGGGAGGGCTGGGTGTTCTGGCCTGGAACAACCAGAAGCAGCACACTAATACTGTTACTAGCTCAACTTACAATTTTAAGATTTATTCTCTTGTATACATTGTAGATGTATAACATGACTGTAGGCTCTGACTGTTCAAGTTTAGGTATGACTAGTAATTATCTCTATATTAGACTATGAATAATATTCGTTCAAGAGAATAAAATATATTTTTTCAATATTAATTTCAAATAAGCATTTGATATGCATGACACAGCAATAATTGCACTATGTGTCAGATTTGTTTTAAGTAGTTTATATACATTTACCTCATATGATCCCCCTGCACGTATAATCTGAGGAGGTATGAATCCTATTTCTAGATCAGAAAACTGAGGCACAGGAAAGGTTAAGTGGCTAGCCCAAAGTATCACAGCAACTAAGTGGTGGTGCTGATATTTATATCAAAGCAACTGGTTAGAATCCACAATTCTAACCATTGTACTATACTGAAATGTAAGGATATATGTATTCAATGGTCTGGTTTCCCTATTGTTTGAATGAAATATCCTCTCGATTACCTCTAAATCATCTTCACTGAGAAGGTCTAAATGCTCAGGGTAAAACTCTTTCTGATTCATTTACTGGCCCATTTATTTGCATGAGATTATTTCATATCTTTATCATCGACTGTTTGAAATGAAAAGAAACATGGAATCAGGTACTGCACACAGCACAGTGAAAAGAGAATGGGTTTGGAGCCAGAAAGATCTGACTTTGTATCCTAATTCTACTTAGAAGCAATGAAATCCTGAACGCCTTATTCCATTTTTCCGAGCCTCAGTTTCTTCATCTGTAAATCAGAAATAATCACACTAGCCTGGCACTGTTTGGCCAAAGTAATGAAGGTGAAGTGTTTAACTTTGTGCCGGGCATATGCTGAGCTCACTAAACATTAGTCCCTACCCCTTCCCTGAATGATGCCCAAGGTCACCTAGTCCCTATCATCATAGTCAAGGCTAGAACACAGGATGTAAACCTAGTCAATGATCCTTCTTCTACAACAAGCTGTGAAGAAGCAACACATTTGATGGCAGCAAGTATCAAGTGCTACTGCTGCTAAGAGCCGGGTTCAGATTTCGTTTCATTTTAAACCAGTTTATCATAGGAATTGAAAATGTGGACCAAAGCTAATTGACTTGGCTTTTACAACAAACAGGTTTTCCTCTTAATGAATTCACTGATAAAAAGACCTCACAGATTAAAAGATCCTATATAATAAAAGCCTAATATGCTAAGTGTCCGGTAGTCCATTCAACCAATCAAAGCATAATATGCTAATGATGTGCTAAGGTCGCTCAACCGCTCATTATGACGTGCACTGATCACCAGGGAGCAGACACTCCGACTGGTAGATTAGCTTGCTGGTGGGGTCTGGCTGATCAGGATTGAGCAAGACGGGCTGGACATGCCCTGGAGCCCTCCTGCGGTCCCTCCTCGACTGGCCAACCTCCTGTATCCTTCCCCAGCCTCGATCGTGCACCGGCAGGGTCCCTCAGCTTGACCTGCGCCCTCTTGCAAAACGGGCTGAGCCCCCTCCCCCTGCCCCGCCATCCCACCCCCAGTAAGTGCAGGAATTTCGTGCACTGGGCCTCTAGTAAAATTATAAGAACATGCACCATACCCATCAGGATAAACTACAGGAACAGTTAATCTATCCAAAAGTGATTTCCCAACTGCTTCAATTTCATCAAATTGCTCCTCATCATTAATAGCTTCAGGCTCTTCTGGACAGTCTTGCAAAATCTGCAACATAAAAGGGCAACATCAAGAGAGAAAAAGGAAATAAATCTCAAACAAATTTAGCAGATTGAAGGTGTTTATATTTTGTTTTATTTTAGCATCTTCATGTACACCATTGTAGAAAATTTATCTATTTTTGACAAAACTGCCTCAAAAAATTCAAACAAAATGAGATACATAATCCTGACTAACATAATTGGAATATGAAAAAGATCAACAGTGATTCCGGGGGGTGGGGGTGGGGGAATACTAGAAAACTATTTGGAAAGTAAGTTCAAATTGTACTTAAGAAGTATTATTTCATTCAATAAGTAATAATTTATTGAACACTTATTATATGTTTACTTAGTGCTTGGGATATAAATGAGATATAGATTTTGACCTCCAGATTTTACAGACTTCAAAAATGAAAAATTATATAAATGCAAAACAACATATACTCCAAGTATTAGCACATAACTGATTTGATGGCCTAATTACACAATTTATAGTTATTTTAAAAACTCATCTGCTAACTTAACTGATGTAAACTGCTATGGTTATAATTCAAATATAGGGAAGTTCTGCAGCCTTTGTAAAGATATTATTTGTTTCTCCTTAACTATTACCATTTAAATTTAACTCAAAAAAAAAAAAACTTAAAAAATGTGAGGAAGGTAAAAGAAAAAGTACTTATTTTTGCAGAGACTTCACTTAATCCAATTATGTTTATTTCATTGTAGCTCATAAAGAACATATTTATAGTCTAAAATTCTAGACTTAATTTAAATATTTTCCCAATCATACTGTACAATTTGCTTATAGTTATTACATTTACGCTTACTGGTATAAAACAGAACACAGTCAAAAGGAAAAGGTTTCACCATAGGTTTGCACAGCAAAATAACCTTAAATCAAGTTTATTATAAGTATGATAAAGGCCATGAAGTAGAAAAAGTAGAAATGTTAATTTTCTATTATAGCCAATGAAAAATCAACAGTTGGTTATTTAATTATATATATATATATATATATATATATGTGTGTGTGTGTGTGTGTGTGTGTGTGTGTATATATATATATATTCCTATACAACTTCTTAAAGTGGTCTAGATTTTAAAATGCCTTTGCTGATTCCTTTAAAAACAGCATCCTAAAAAGTTTCCAGTGGTGTTAGAATAGGGCCAGTGGTCACCTTGGAGAGGGGGAGGGGCAGCAAAAGCAGCGTGGCTAAAAAGGAATGGGAGCCTCTCAGGAGCTGGTAGCATTCTGTTGTTTGAACAGTGCACTGATTGGACAGATGTGCTCATCTTGTTAAAATTAATGACTTATGATCTGCATATTATGTTAATATTATACTTGAACAAAAAGTTTTCATTAAAATAATCAGTAGATAAGCAAGTTAAGCCATTTTGCATACTTTCATTCATTATCATTAGGCCCCTAAAACACTGCCCTGTGTGTGGAGTTCAGTGACTAGGTCAGCAAGAGTTTACTATGAACATCTCCTAACAAATGTATTTCATAACACAGACAGAAACTGCTTAGTTCCTGAGGTTTCTGGAAACATTTCTTTTGTTCGACAGACAAGGCTATCACATTTAAAACTTTGATTTCTCCTATTTTAAATTGTACTAAACTTCCCCTATATATAAACTTTCATTGTAAGAGATCAAAATAAAGCTAACTACATAATAAAGTTCCTCTTCAGAATGGAAATGCAAAGCTCAGGTGATACACATTTTCACTGTGCTGAGTTAAGAAAAAAGTTCTATGAAAACCTGCCCAATAACACTGCATATTCATTTCTGGTTTCTGAGACTAAATAATTTAATAAATAATAAATTCTAGAATTACTTCTTAAAAAATAACACATAAAAATATGTTCTGCCTGGCCAGTGTGGCTAAGTGGTTGAGCTTTGATCTATGAACCAGGAGGTCACGGTTCCATTCCCAGTCAGAGCACATTCCTGGGTTGCAGGCTTGGTCACCAGTGGGGGGTGTGTGCATGAGGCAGCTGATCAATGATTCTCTCTTATCACTGATGTTTCTTTTTCTCTCTCTCTCTCTTTTCTCTTCCTCTCTGAAATCAATAAAAATGTTTTTCTAAAAGTTTTAATTTTTGTCCTTATTCTCATTTTAGTTGGACAGACTCTAAACATTAAAAAATTAAAAAGTACCCTTTTAAATAATTTATGATAATTTATAGCAGGTACCAAAGCAAAGTTTCCTTTCTTGGCATATGAATGAGATGGGAGTCATGACCTCCTAAAGAATGGACAGCACATTATGGGAAGTAGGTACAGTGAGAAGAGTAACACTGTAGACAGAAGGCCACTGAATGGTTTTGAATTTCTCCAACCATGATACTCCACCACTGGTACCAATTACTAAGAGAATTTGATTTCAACTCTCTGAGATAATATATCTAAACAAACTTTAAATAACAGAACTAGTATCAATTTTTTTAAAACCAGACTAAGCACATATTACATTATTAAGATTAACATATTTTAAACATACACAATAAATATTATTGTGACCACATTTTTAAAAAAGCAAACCTTTTCGGTATTTGAGTGAAATGCAATAGCCATTTCCAGCCTATGTACTCTCTCTTCAGATGCTATCGTAAATTGCTTCCATACTCTGTTCAGTCGAGGAAGTGTATCCCCAGATGACCGAGAAGTGCAGCGCAAAGATTGGCACAACACAACGGTGGCCTGTAGCAACTGTCTTCCATAGTCATAAGTGCTCTAAAAAAAAAGTAAACATGGAATTATAATAAAAGAATTCTGAAAAGAGGGATGGGAAAGCATGCAGGAGGACTGTGGTAGCCATTAAGTGACACTCCTGGAAATCAGTACTTAATGACTCCACTGGCACTTACTACAGATTATCGGCATGCATAAATAATGCAGGGGAAGCAATACTTTTAGTTCATTTTCAGTAAGTTTCTTTCTTATTCTGTTTTCCCCATCTCAGTCGGCTCAATTCCAAAGGCCAAAAAGAATGTCTGTTCAGTCTTTAATCGAGACAAGTGGGTAAAAACAGGCACTTTGTATTCCTCAGAGGAAACCACAACACGGTAAACTCAATTATTAGGGAAATTAATTAAGACACATTTGACAACAACAACAACAAAATCTGTGTTGTAATGTTAATGCTGGTGAGATACAGCATTAACATATATTTTGTATTAACTTTCAGGAAGGAACAGTTGGATTGCCTAAAAAATCCTATAATATATCACATAAATCACAGAAGGCATACGGAACCTGTATTCAGGGAAACATAAACCCTCACAAGTTTGTGCAGGCTAGTTTGGATGCACCAGCTGACATTTTCTTAGTTCTGTGATATTTCTGGAATAACATAACTAACCTTCTGGGACTTGGAGGGTTAAGTTACATTATAATCATGCAGAAAGCTATTCAAACACTGAGCTTGTAGGAAAGGAAGATAACCAGTTCTGCACCTGTGCGACATCAACAAATTTTCTATGCTTTTCCAGTAAAACTTTCGTTTCCTGGGCATCATCACCCAATCTGATGTGGGTCTTAAGCAGAGCATCCAGAAGTTCGCTTAGCCATTCTACTGCCTAAATGAAAAGAACAGTGAAGCTGGATTCATAAGTCTTTACTTATTATATCAAAATATCATATTTATAAGAAAAATCATATCATGTGATTGACTAATCTATTAGTTATAACCTAAGTTCCTAATAGCTTAGTTCATTCAATGACAAACTACATGAATTAATGACCTTGCCTCCTATTCAATATTTTTAAAAATCTAAAGACAATGCCTATTAAAGGGAAGCACTCTTTTAAAATTACCACGATTTGTAATAGATTACATACATATAGATCTTACTGAAATCTCTTTATATTATGATTTTATGTTACCATTTAAAATCACAAATTTCCTTTATGCCAAGCTGAAATGATGTACTCTGATGCTAAATACAAAAAGAGAGCAAATTGTTTACCTAGTTGAAAAAGCCACTTGTAGTTAAAAAGCAGTGTGTTATCCAGCCTTTATCCTGGGATATAACTGATAACAGATGAATAATAAATAATACCTAGTCCCAATTTCTAGCTCAACAGAGGATTTCATTAAGAAGGTAAATCAAATGAGACCAAGTAAGATAACTGGGAATACAAAACTTTATTATTTCAACAGTTTAAACTAGAATCTGACCTCATGTTACCTTCTTAGGACTATAAAAAAGTTGTCTATAATTGGATGAAATCAATCTTCTAAGAAAAAAAAACCAACTAAACAATGTGCCAATTGATCCTTACCTGGGCAGCATCTTCTTCACATTTAAACAACTGCACCATCTGAAGCATCTTTAACCTTCGCACATCTACCATGTCTTCACATCTAATAAATCCAAACATAAATTTAGAACATTTTGTTTTTGTTGATAACTATTATAGCGCACACATATTATAGTATACTAAAACACCTAATCCAACACTATGGGGATTGTAACTATTTTGTATTAATTTATAAGAACTTAAAGGATAACTATTTGTATATCACATCAAAACCTCAAAATACCTGAATGATACTGAATCACAAACCCTCATGAGAATAGCATGGATTCTGCAGAGTACTGAAGCAAAGCATAAATGCAGTAGCACACTAAAACCCAAAGAAATCTCCATTGCCCATTATCATTAAACTAGCTTCAAAGATAAAAATGCAGTTTCTCAAATACTAATTTAGGAGATATGTTCAAGGAAATTAAAAAAAGTAACACTTTTCATTGTGTTACATTACTCAGAGTAATATCTAATTTTGAATAAAAGAAACACAAAAACTCTAACTATATCCTTAAGAAGGAAAAAACCGCTAAAGCTCTCTGAGTGCAGAGAAACACAACACAGTGTATTTTTAAATTTACTAAGGTCTGGATAATCAGGTGACTTGACCTAACTCTGATCCATTCCCTTCATTCCCATGCAATTTTATGTACTTTAGGTGGGAAGGAGAAATCTCATTGCAATACCAAATACCAATAATTAGTTAACTAGGAGACCCTGGGCTCCACTACAGTTGATGTTCTTAAAGAAGGCTTAATAACAATACAAATGTCATTGTCACAAGACAATTTTTATAAAGATGCCTTCAAAAATCACACAGCAAGCTGTTAAAATGCAACTTGGTTAAAGTAAAATTCTACAAAGGATTGAAGGAAAGTGATGCTAATTATTTCTAAAATCTGAAGTTACATTACAATGTAAGACACTTTAAAGATGAAGATGATGACATACATGTATTCAACACATTGTCAGGAATTGAGTAATGTGCTTAAAAAAATCAAGACGTGGTCTCTTGTATTAAGATGGGCCCATTTGAGGAGTTGGATGTTTACATAAACAATGTGATAAATGTTAGTGTAGAGCCATGTAAAGGATTCATGGGAGTATGGAGGAATAGGTGATTAACTTGTCTTAGAAATCTAAAAAGGATTGCAAGGATAAGCACCTTAAAAAAAGGAGGGAATCCAGTAGGTAGAAAATGAGTCACAGATGCATGAAACAGCATGAGGTATTCAGGAAATAAAAACAACCATGTGATTTTGGGGAAAGTTACAGGAGATGAGACTATGCAAGACTGGATTATGACCTCCTACACAATTCCAAGGAGATAGAACTTCATCTGAGAAAGCAGGAAGTCACTTAGAAAGAGAGATTTTTTATAAGGAAATTGTGTAATTAGAAGTGCACTTTACAAACATTACTCTGTGTACAACCATAGATAAGGAACAGAAATCTTGAACAAAGAAATGTTTAGGATAACAAAACAGCAAAACGTTGACATTTGATGAGGCTGTAGGGATGAGGAAGAGTAAAAATTTTAGAATACACCCGAAGTTTGGTAGCCACTGGTAACTTTAACCTAGATAGGAAATTAAAGGAGAGGAGCAATGTGGGCGGGGGAGAATGATTCCAACCTGGACACATTGGTTTGACTAGTGTATGGTGCATCCAGGTGGAGATCCTCAGCAGGCAAGTGGAATTATGGGTCTAAAGCACAGGAGAGTAGTTTGTGTCAGAGCAATAACCACTCAATCATGACACTAAAGGTCATTCAAGTAGTGAGACTGTCCAGGGAGAACACAGACTGAGAGGAAAATCTGGCTTCAGAACAAACCCTGGAAGCAGTGACATTAGCAGGAGGACAAAGAAACAGTGAAAACTGAGAAGAAACAGAATGCCAGGAGGAGTACCAACAGGGTGTTTTCAAAGACAAGGTTGTCCGGGAGTTTCAAGAAGAAAGAAAAATTCAGCTGTGTCTAAGGCTATTCAGAATGGGTAAACAAGGTCAGGACTAAAAGTATTCCTGCATTTTGAGCAAGATCAAGCATTTATTATAGACTAGAGGCCCGATGCACAAAATTCATGCAAGAGCAGACCTTTGCAGTCGCAGTGGCTGCCTCGATCCTGGTCGTCCGGAAGGATGTCTGGTCTAATTAGCATAGTATGCTTTTATTATTATAGATGGTAATTAAAAAGTCACTGGAGACATTAATAAGAGCAGATTTAGTGAAATGGTAAGAGAAGCCAGACTGCAGAGGGTTGAAAAGTAAACTGGAAAAAGTGAGACAGTAAAATGAGTGTAGATTAGATCTTCAAATGACTTCACTTTCAGGAAGGACTGCTCCAGAGCTAGAAGACAAAGAAAGAGTTGAAGAGGAAGGTGTGTAATTCTTTATACCTTTTTTAAAATAGGAGATATTTAAGCAAATAAATGAGGGACAGGGATCAGAGGAGAAAACGGGAGTTGATGGAATGAGGAGACATGAGGGTACATGGAAGGATCGGCTTTGATAAGAGCAGGGCTGTCATCCTTTGGGAGGAGAATGAATAGTGAAACGGATAAATCTACAGATATGAGGGTAGAAAGAATTTCTGTCTGGTGAATGTTTTCTCTAAGATGTAAGGGGAGAGTTTCTGTAGGTTTTCTTGACTTTAAAATTTCTAGGTGTACAAAAATTTCTAGATGGATTAATCTATGTTTATATGCATAGATTAATCTAATCTATTAGTTCAAAACACAGTTGGCTCTCCATTATCTGTGGGTTCTGCATCCATGGATTCACCAATCATGGATTGAAAATATTCAGAAAAAGTTATGTAGTTGCTTACATGACTATGTAGTGAAAATTATGGTGATTTATTAGGGATAAAGAACCTATTTTAGTGCCCTTACTCATTGGTTTCCATGAAGTGCTCTGTAAATGGAAAAGCATTTGTCATTTTTTGACAGGTTCAGAAAAAATAGAGAATAAGTGCAAGATGCAGAGTTTAACATGAAAATATTCACAAAAAAATATCTTACATTGCTGCTGATTTGTGCTATGGAGTAAGATCTACAACAGTTGCATCCGTACTGAACATGTACAGACTTTTTCTTCTGGTTATTATTCCCTAAATAATAGAGTATAACAACTATTTACCTACCATTTACATTGTATTAGGTATTATAATATAGCGGTGCTTTAAAAGTATACAGGAGGATGTGCGTAGGTTATATGCAAATACAACACCACTTTATATAAAGGGTCTGAGCATCTGTGGGGGTCCTGGAACCAATGCCCGTGGATGCACAGGAACAACTATAATTTGCAGTTGCTATTGCAAATTGAGTTTTCAAAGAAGCCTTTAAATTCCTAATTCTGTATCAAATAAAACTAAACATCATCTTACCCTCACCCATCATCTTACTTTAACAAACATTAATCTATAGTCTAATCCTTTTACAGCAAATATGAGAACAATGGACGTATGATAATTTGTTAGTAAGAAGTTTAGATGAAGAAACAGATCAGTTTAGATGACATTTAATATCAACTAAACCAAATGAAAACTGAAAAGCAAAATTTTCCAAAAAGGATTTTCTTAAAAGACAAAAGAGTCAGAAGCTACACTGGAAATAGGAATAAAAAGTATTTGAGTGTAATCGAAATTTTTACTACTGAGTAAAAGGAAAAGGTACCCATTCGTTAATTGAATAAATTGCCATTATGTGTTAGTATAATTACATACAATAATTATTACAGTCACAAAAAACTTACTACATGCCTACTATATAAACAGGTAAAAACTTTTAGTTTGAATAAAAAATATAAATTATATCATTTGTCATTTTAATCAATAATGTTGTCTTAGCAAAAATTAACATTAGTAGTCAAACTTTGCCTTTGTTTCCTAAGCTGCATATCTTCCATCACTCCTTGTATGTGGTCCACATTTTCTTTATTTTCAATGGTTACATCCTTCCCATATGCCCAGGATGCCTGATTGGAGATCTGATCCAGAAGACCTTGACCTTTTTCACGCAAACCTTGCAATCCTACATCTAAAACAAAAGTTGCTAGATTTAATTTCTTAAACAAAGGAAGTGCTTTCCCTCCCTCAAGTAAACCCTTGCAGCAGATACTGCACATGAGTTCCAAGTATAACACTTTGTATATTAAACTATCCTTGGGTGGAGTCCTCTGAACATTTCGAGCAATAAAACCCCTTTAAATGTGACTCAGACTGAAATTCTCCCTCTACCCTCCTAATGCCAAATTGTCCTTAAAGAGAATTTCCAAAGGGCTAATTTCCATAGATAATAATTAATTTTTAAAGCAGAAAGCTGTAAATGTGAGAATTACTGTTTTAATCAGTAAGGGTTTTCAATTTTTTCCTTTCTGCTTTTACATAGTCCAATTTTTTTTAGAACAAGGCAAATGTTTTGTTCAAAAACAGGTATGAGTTGCAAGGCTTCAAATCACTGAAGCAATGTTAAAGGATGCTAAACATTCTGAGTACAGGCACTACCTAGTTTATACCCAACAAGAAGCAACACTTAGGATGTTTGCAATACTCCAAAGTATACAGGAATTTCTTTTCTTTTTTTTTTTTTTAAAGAAGTGTGGCTCAAGAAATTTTCTGACATTTTCAAATAAATTTCATTTGGCATATTAAATACTACATGTGTATTATGCATATCATTTGCTAAAATAACAAAGGCTCAAACGAGTAAAATGCCAATATATAAACATGACTTTTCAAATCCATTCCTTCAAATCCTTTTCAAAAAGTAATTAATTTGGTCCAATCACATGTTACCATTTTCTATTAAATCTCTGCCCTCGGTTTCTGCTACTTCTCCTATATCACCTTTGTTCCCCTGTCCTCCTCAACCCATCCCCACTTTCCATTTTTGCATCTACTGTCTACCTCTCCAGTCATGACCTAGGGAAAGTCACTGTATTTATTGCTACTAGATTTTTAAAGGCCTTGATGACAAGTGAAAGAACTAGCTTAATGAGATTGGATCTCATTAAGGCTTAGAGAGTATGTAATCTTGGCAATATTTCCAGTTTGGAGAAACAAATTCACAGAACCAAACCAAGTATGTTTTTACAGGTTAGGATATAGCAACAACAAAAATCATTGCATAAAACAACAGTTTGGGGCATACAGGGTTTACCACAGAACACTTCACAGCTAATTACAGTTTATGCATGCACTACAAATAACTGTTCATAGGATATGCAAGACATAGCACCTGTAGATATAGCTGGGTAAATAAGAAAGGCTAACGGTCCAATGAAGGAAGTGATTGACCAACAATGAAAAAAATAAAAATTTAAGCATAAATTACATCCTTCAAGAGAACAAAAAACCTTTTTTATAGTAATTTTTCCTGTAAATAATTATTAATTCAGTATATGCTGACTTGTGTAACCATGGTAATATTTTTTTAAAAGAACTCTTATGTTTCAGCATTTTTAAAATCTGCTTACCAACACTTTTCAGCTTCTCTTCAAGCAGTTTTAAAGTTTGCTGAATCGATGCTCCATCAGCTGGTGCTACATCTACGCACAACATCCCTAATAAGCCATCCAACTGCTGAGACAACTAAAGCAGAGGGACACCAAAGAGATAACCCTGATGTAATCAGCATCTAAAGTGTTTAATGGTTAATGAGGTTTATATCTAATGAGGTTATCACAATTATACTTGAAAAAAGACTATGCTGTTAAAAGACAAGAACGCATAATTAGAATACATGTTATCTGGAAGACAGAACACACAGATGCATGCACCAGGAAGACAAAGAAATATATCCAGGTCAGCAGAATGTACAAAAGTAATGAAACTTCCATTTCATTCTATGTTATAAAGCATACACATTGAGAAACAATAAAAACAAAATATATCTACTAGTTGGGACACTCTATGTAGACAAAAAAAGTTTAGGTGCATGCAGATTGACTTAAAAAAATCAAAGATTTTATCTCATTTCCCCCACCAGTACATTATTTTACTGTTCCAGGAAAATAATTAGGAGACATGCAAACCTGCAAAAATTATGTGCAGATAAGTATTCAGATCGTTTGAAGAGAAGAAAAGCACAAAGAGTAGATACTTACATCTTGGGCAACACCATGAAATTCAAGGGCTGCTTGTAAGAGATTTTGCCTAAATTCCAGCTGACTGGCCTGTCGATAGCAAACATCACTAAGTTGTTGCTGCAGGGACTTCAGCTCCACAAGATCTTCCTCATCCCCAGCATTTAAGAGTGCTGCAATTTGCTGATTAAGCTCCACATACACTGCGAACCATTCCTATAATAGAGGCATTGTAAAGTAAATTAAGGATAAAATTAGTTTATGGAGACCTACATGACATTTAATAATTTCTCCATATACACTAATAAACAAAAGAATTTTCTTAGGCAAAACCATTTAAATTAAGAAGAAAAGTCCCCAATCCCCAAATCCTTCACGCCAATCCCTAGAACACACTCCAGCCAAGGACAAAATCTCCTCTAGCCTCATCCTGGCCTCTGTTTCCTTCTCTCTCTTGCTTTACATGACACCTGTCCACCGTCAGAAAAGGCAGTGAGCCCTGTAGCCCTCTTAACTAACGGCTGTTTTTGTTTTCACAGCTGACATCCCACAATCCTAGAGGTGGAGTAGAGAGATGGCTGCCTCAGGCCCCATTACTATTTCCAGACCATTTCTTCTCCCTCTTCTCTTTTTGCTTCTAAATCAATATTCATTGGGTTTGGATGATTTCATATAGCCCCATGCCTTTAAATAATACCAATAGGCTTACAACTCCCAACGCCTGACCCCACTCCTGAATTATACACATTGATAGGCAACCGTCTACTAACGATCTTCATTCAGGTGACTTTTAGATATCCAAAATTTAACTTGTCCCCAAAGATACTGATTTCCAGCCTCCCAACCTGCTTCTCTCCCAGTCTTCCCCACTTAATAGTTGCTAAAGCCAAACATATAATTCTTCTTCCAAGAGCAAGTCTTGCTGGCTTAACCCATGAATCTGACAGTTTCTCATTACTTATACTGCCTCCATTCTGTTAGCCTCCTGCCTTCCTATTTCATTTTTTTGTCTCTACTCCCTGTTCTCCATACAACAGCCAGTGATCTTTTAAAAAAATATAAATCAATTCTCAGCTAATAAATTTATGTTTAGCTTTATTTGTGAATTATGCTTTTAGGAAGAATCTAAAACTTAATACTTGACAAAGTGTTTTAATACAAAAATGGTTTATTAACCCCTTCCCTGGCAGAAACGTGTATACTCGTTTTCACAAAATGTTTTTTCAGTCGTCGACGAGTATACTAAGAAAATATGGTAAAAAAATATGGTTTATAGGAAGACGAGTTACAAACTGTTTTCATAACCAGCATCAAAAATACTATATAGAACCAAAATAAAAAAATTAGTCTGAAAAAGAAACGTTTTTAACAAAAAAATTGTTGGGGAAGGGGTTAAAAGTTTCTCCAAATTCTACTCCTATTAACCAATCAATATACTAGAAAAATTTGACTTTCATGAGACCTGAAAAATTCCAATACATGTTTTAAAGTGTTCACTTTTATTTACAAAGACAAGAAAGCTTTTAATAAAATGTTAGACTATCTTAAACATCATAATATGTTCATCCAGCAACAACCTATTCTCAAGGTGAAACGCAGTGCCATCTATTGGTTAAAATGGTACAATTCTCTTTTGCAAACCTTTTAGAATGAAAAATTTCAAATCTATTCAACAGTAGAAAGTAGTTGGCCCTTCAACAACACAGGATTTGAATTGCATGGGTCCACTTATACATGGATTTTTTCTTTCAATAAATACTCTAAATGTATTTTCTCTTATGATTTTCTTAAAAAGCATTCTTTTCTCTAGTTCAGTGGTCAGCAAACTGCGGCCCCTTGAGTGTGGCTCTTCCACAAAATACCACATGCGGGCACACACGTACAGTGTGATTGAAACTTCGTGGCCACACTCAAGGGGCCAAAGAGTTGCATGTGGCTTGTGAGCCGCGGTTTGCCGACCTCGGGTCTAGCTTACTTTATTGTAATACAATATATAAAACATATATAAAATATGTGTTAATCAACTATTTATGTTATTGGTAAAGCTTCCAGCCAACAGTAGACTATTAGTAAATTTTAGTGGGGTTAAAGTTACATGCAGATTTTTAACAGTTAAAGAGGGGAAGAAGGGGGGGGGGGCGGTCCATGCCCCTAAGCCCCTCACTGTTCAAGGGTAAACTCTACAATGAAACCCCATGTACCATGCAGCTTCAATAATTATCAACTCATGACCTTAAGAATCATGTTTCTATCTCAGGGACTATAAATGAAAGTCCTGTTTTTGTATTATTATTCTTTCTTCTGTCACTGTGGTTTCTGTCACATGAATTGTGTCTCTATAAAAATATGTTATTAAACTGTACTGGAGATAAAAACCACAGCCAAACTTCAAATGAATATGTACCAAGTGGTCAAAATGTCCTTTATGGCCTCTAAACAGTAAACATCCTGTATGTTTATGCTCCTACACCGAAGTTTATAGCAACTTATCACTTAGCATCACACATGCTAATTAATTAGCACATTAAGAATAGCACTGTAACGTGCAGAGGTAAAAAAGTCTCTCACACTGTGCTGGCTCTCGATCTCTTCGTGCTTCTGTTGTAGGGCCTGCGAAGCCCGAATGGAATCTCCAATCCCCCACTGGGCTCTAAGTTGTTCTGATCCAGGTCCCTCAAGCCAGTTCACAACCTATAAAAGGGAGTTGAGATGAAATTTTAAAGTTCCTCCAATATTTTTCATCTAAATCAGTGGTTCTCAACCTGTGGGTCGCGACCCCTTTGGAAAATTAGTAAAATATATATGAAAATTTTCCTTCTGTCAGAATCTGGGGTGCATCATGGGACCCAGAGTCAAGTCCCCGCCCACCCACATGTACCTCAAAATTGCAAGAGACACAGACCTGGCCGGCCCCACCCCATTGGGTTAGATCCAGACCCGGTCGGCCCCACCCTTGTCAAGCCCCGCCAGGCAGGGTCGCAGCCTCCCCTGGCCTGGCGCTGGGCGGGGGGCATAGCCTGAGGTCCCCCATCAAGCCCCACTGGGCAGGGGAGCATGACCTAAGGTCCCCCAACCTGGGCCGGGGTGGGGGTTGCGCCTTGAAGTCCCCTGTCAAGCCCCGCTGCTGAGTAGGGGGGCGCGGCCTGAGGTCCCCCGTCAAGCCTTACCGACGGGAGGCACACCTTGAGGTTCCCCTGTCAAGCCCTGCCAGACGGGGGGCACAGCCTCAGGTGTAAGAAGATGAGATGCATATGGGACAAATATACAAGAAAAACTTCATACCCCCAGGATCATGCCTGTTATAGAAGTCAATGAACTAAGGGATGCCCAAAGTTAAGTGTTCCATAAAGTATTGGTAGTTTTCCCAATCCAGATCCAGAAATTTTAAAAAAATTTTAATTACTGATTTGAGGAAGAGGGAGAGAGGGAGGGAGAGAAAGAAACATCGATTTGTTGTTCCATTTATTCATTCATTCATTGGTTGATTCTTATATGTGCCCTCATAGGGGATCAAACCCACAACCTTGGAGTATCAGGACAACACTCTAATCAACTGAGCTACCAGGCCAGGGCCATCCAGAATATTTTTTATTATAAGCAATGTTGTCTAGTAACATACTTGACATTCCAAGTCTTTATCAGGTTTTCAGGGTACCAGAGCTAGATAGTTAAGCAGAGATCAAATTTTCATGCAGAAGATAAAAGGGTTCCGTTAACTCTTTACCCACAAACATAAATACTCTGAATCTACATAGATACAGTGAAGTAATTTTAACAGAAAAAAATATTATTATCAAGATTTATCTGTTACTAAATTAGAGTAAGAAATTCAATAATAGATGTATGGTTATGCCTAAATCTAAACTTAGGACAGCTCCCAAGAAGTAAATAAGAGTGTCTGAAGCATGATATTATAGATCAGCCATGGGCAAACTACGGCCCGTGGGCTGGATCCGGCCCGTTTGAAATGAATAAAAGTAAAAAAAAAAAAAAAAAAAAGACCATACCCTTTTATGTAATGATGTTTACTTTGAATTTATATTAGTTCACACAAACACTCCATCCATGCTTTTGTTCCGGCCCTCCGGTCCAGTTTAAGAACCCATTGTGGCCCTCGAGTCAAGAAGTTTGCCCACCCGTTATAGATGCAATGGATGGATAGGTTTACCTTAGAACTTTATAACAAAGTATCACAGACCCATAGTGCATTTCTGTTACTACTAGGTTAAAACACATTCATTTTAAAATCTAACAACTCATGTAATTTTTCAATAAACTTTCATCCTTCTGATTTTTAAAATGTGCCACATTACAGGAAAAAAATCATGTATATTTCTTTCCAATCATTTTTTATATGCACAGTGTTTTCATATGATGCTCCAGATTTAAGTGCCATAGCCAATTCTCAAAGTAATTTCTATCCTGTTTTTCACTTAACATTAAATTATACTATAATGATTTTTCATGTGGCTACAGTTATAATTTTCAATGCTTGCAAACCTTTTTTAAGAAGGATAACTTCCTTGCCTGCCTACTTCCTTCCCTCCCTCCCTCTCACACTTCTGTCCAAGCAAGCAACCAACCAATCAACCTACGCATCCTTATGAAAAGCAATGTAAGTAATGTACAGCCTCAAATAGCTGATTTCAAGACTCCATTTTTCTATTGCTAAGCATGTAGAATGTTTCCAATTTCCACCAATTCTAAGTAATTCCATGATGAACATTACATATATAACATTTTTAGATTTAGCATTTTATATATATACTAGAGGCCCAGTGTATGAAATTCATGCACTGGAAGGGGGCATTCCCGCAGCCCGTCCTGCACCCTCTAGCAGTTTGGGAGCCCTCAGGGGATGTCTGACTGCCAGTAGTTGGACAGCCTTAGCACTCCCGCGGAGGCAGAAGAGGCTCCCGCCACCGCTGCTGCGCTCGCCAGCAGTGAGCCCGGCTTCTGGCTGAGTGGCACTCCCCCTGTGGGAGTGCACTGACCACCAGGGGGCAGCTCCTGCGTTGAGCGGGATCAGGCCAAAACCGGCTCTCCGACATCCCCCGAGGGGTCCTGGATTGCGAGAGGACACAGGCCAGGCCAAGGGACCCCACCAGTACACAATCGGGGCAGAGGAGGGATACAGGAGGTTGGCCAGCTTGGGATGGACTGCGTGAGGGCTCCAGGGCGTGTCTGGCCTATCTTGTTCAGTCCCAATCAGCAGGACCCCAGCAGAAAGCTAACTTACTGGTTGGAGCGTCTGCTCCCAGGTGGCCTGTGCCCATTATGGTGACTAGTTGACCGGTCGACTGTCTTCCCCCTGGTGGTCAGTGCATGTCATAGCGAGTGGCTGAGTGACCTTAGCATATCATTAGCATATTACACTTTGATTGGTTGAACGGACGACCGGACAACCAGACACTTAGCATATTAGGCTTTTATTATATTGGATATATGCAGCATTTTATAGTTATATGTAATTTTTTTTTCTAAAGTGGTATTGTTCTCATTTATTACTATGTAATACAAATATGGGATATTGCAACAGACATAAAATAGCTTTCAGCAATAAATATAATCAATTATTTCACTAGAAATGTCTAAATTCTAAAAATAAAGATGTACCGTATTTGCCGGCGTATAAGACGATTTTTTGGCCCTGAAAAATATGCCTCCAAGTGGAGGGTCGTCTTATACGCCAGGTACACTTCAGATAGACTGTCCATAGTGCTTGCCCCGTGCCATAGTGGCCTCCCGATGCCCGCCCACTTCATTCCACATACCGTTCAGGCATCAGCAGCGCTGCTGGGTGTATGCTCGGCTGTTATGCGATTTTACTGTTATGCGATTTTGCGAGTGTGGTAAATTCGGGTTACCGTATATTTCTTTACATATGCATTGAAGATTCGCGATTTTGCGCTATCATGGTGCCTGTTAGAATGTTGAAGAGCTCGCACTTGCGCACTAGTGAGGTCCCAGGGAGATGCTGATGCAAGGGTGGACCAGACTGCTATAGTGACAGGGCGGGCAAACAGGGAGCAGGGACCAATCAAATCAGGCTTTGTATACAGCCAACAGCCAACCACAATACTGCCCCATTGTACAGTACAGCATAGAAAATGTCGACCAGTCAAACCCCTATCATCCCTATCATGGCACCAAGATGTCGTTGATGAACTTTTAATATCAGATGATGAAGAGGAGTTTGAAGGCTTTTAAGGTGAAACTGCCACGCCAGCAAACTTGCTAGGGACTTGCCCGGCACTTGCTCTCTCCCTCTATTTGTTATCTTACTTCTATCATTGACAGTCCCTCTAGGTTGTGGGCTGCTTGCCTGTGTTCCTGAGAAGCATCTACGGTACCAGTCTATAGAGTGTGTTTTCTTTAGTGAATTACCGGTATGTTTACCGGTAATAAACTTGCACTGTTTTATGTACATGTTTGATTACATACAGCCTTGTGACAGTTTTCCTGCATGTCATAAGCATTTGAATATAAATTAAAATGTTAAAATCAAATCTGATATTGTTTTACCTTTTATTTGGTGTGTGGAAGGTGTGCGGAAGAGGGGGTAGTCTTATACGGCGAGTATATAACAAACTCTGTATTTTGAGTGGAAATGTTAGGGGGTCGTCTTATACGCCCAGTCGTCTTATACGCCGGCAAATACGGTAATAAAGGCATCTCAAAAACATTTAATGAATCAATAATGTATTATACATTACTTTTAAAAATTGAAGATATTATTTAGACATTTAAACTTTGCTTTTAGAATATGCCCCCAAGAAATCTGAGGCATTTCTATACACCAATAGTGAATTTTCAGAAAGAGAGATTATAAAAATAATCCCATTTACCATCGCACCAAAAAAATTAAGCTACCTAGGAAAAAACTTAACTAAAGAGGTAAAAGACCTCTACTCAGAAAACTACAGGACGTTGAAAAAAGAGAT